GAGCTCCTCGGTCTGTGGTCAGCAGACTCACAAGGCCTTCGGCAACAACACACATACATGAAAGGCAAGGGACAAACAACCATGTGTACGGCAGGACTCGAACTTACGACCCTTCCGACAGAAGCGCTGAGTTGGCATAAGCTCTAGCCACACAGGCCATCCAAGTTGGCCAGCGCAGTTTCACATAATATGCGCTATTCCTCATTACCGCGCGTTCTTCACTGCAACTATTTTTTTTAGGCTCATTTGCTCTTCTTCATTCTAGAATTCGAAGTACGTTCCTACTGAGACTTTATCCGGCAAAAGAAGTATGAAAACTGTCTCTATCTCGGACTTTATACCCCCATTTTTGATCATGTGAATAACAGCCAGCTAAATTACAGATTCGGCCAAATTCGTACATCGGCAGTAACGGTATTTAATTTTTTTTCACCCCTACCTCTGGCGGCGCCGCAGGCGGCGGTGCAGTCTCCGGGAGCTCCTTCACGACCACGCCCACTTCCGGGGGCGGGGGCGGGGGCGACGGCGCAACTTCCGGCCTCTTGGCGGGGCGCGAGTCGCCGACCGTCGTTTCGCTTGGAACCAGCGCCGGTTCAACTGTTGCAATCATGCTTTTCGACGTCGCTCGACTGTTGCAAGGCACTTTCTTGCTGGCGGTCACGGGCGACGACGTGCGTCCGGCGTCTTGTAGAGAAATCGTTTTACATCTGCGGGAGAACTTTCGGCGCGACGGCTGCGCGACTTCGTCGACTTCGTGCGGGCAAATTTTGGGCACGTTGAAGATGTTCCTGTCGAGGGTTGAAACGGCCGTTTGGGGCGTGGCGCGCGCGGTGGTCGCGGGTGCCGGCCGGCGCGCGGCAGGCGGGCGGCGGCGGGGGGCGGGTGCGGAGCGCGGCGACCGAGGAGGGCGTCGGCGCGGCGGTTTAGGAGGGGGCGGGCCGGCGCCAGGCTCACGGTACTTGGAGAGCGATACTTATCACAAACAATATGCGGAAGCGCGCACGAAGTAGGGACCTACAATGAAGGCGAAGTCGGCGGCAGAGCGCGGGCGGCGCAGGCTGGCCCGGCGGTACAGCTGGGGTGCAGCGCGGGCGAAAGCGGCGGGGCGCGGCGGCGGCGGCCGAGACGCGTCCCTCTCGCCCTCTCGTCCTCCGAGCTGATCTTCAGCGTGGGTAGCCCGCCTCGCAGCGCGGAACGCTGCGAGAGAAGAGCTTATTGCGCGTCGTGTCTGACTGGCAAGACTGAAGCATTCTGGGGCGGTCCTGGCGTTATAATATCGCAGAATTTGGAAATCCAAATTTCCACTTGTATAGCAGATCAGTTGAGACATCATTATGAAGCTTTTTTTAAAATTTATTATTTTATTATTATATATTATATATTATATTATTATATTATTTTTACAATATATTGCTTTTATTTAATTACACTTTCATCGTTTTAAATATTTTGTTGGTCAGCGTTGATTATCGCCACAACCAAGGTTTCAACGGGGTGACAAACATTACACGATAAAGGACGTAATTTGAATAAAGGATGCATAGTATTTTTTTTATAAAATTGCTTTATATAGTCATAACATGTAAATAGTGTAATTTGTGTGGTTTCAAGTTTTAGGTAACTATTTAACGCAGTTGGTGCTCCCCAAAGTAGCTACTTTACGCCACTTCAAAAAATTTATCTTCACAGAGATCTCCATCGCTCTCCACGTAACATGGCGGCCAGCGTCTGTTTTCGCGAACGAAGCGCCCGCTTTGTTATGACGTGGTTCGTGTCGTAAACTAGCGTGACGCACAACGAGAAAAATCGGTTCGCCGGACTAGCTCATCATCAATGCGCTCGAAACATCAATCAGCAAATCAAATCCATCAGTTCTACAACCAACATTCTACTCCTTCCTCTCCCTCGTGCAGGTCCGCATTCACACAGGTGTCAGAGTTTATGTTTGAGGGGGTTGCTGCTGGCCAGCGCGCAATAGAACATCGTTCTTCTTGTGTCACGGGTAGTACCTATGCGGCCGACGCAATTGCTGCAGCCACACGCGCGGCGGCCCCTCGCCAGCGCCCGTGAGGGCGGCAGAGGAGGTGGCGGTGGCGGTGGCGGTGGCGGAGGTGGTGACGGTGGCGGTGGCGGTGGCGGAAGTGCTGACGGTAGCGGTCTTTGAGCGGGCCTTCTTCGCTGTACTAATGAGCGTTGGAGCTGCAATCAGAGCGTTGAACAGATATTACTACAAGAAGGGACCGCTTCGACAGCTACACCTTGCCCACTGCTGGCAATATAACTGCAAGTTACGTCCTGGCACTCGTTTTGAGTTCGTTTGTAGCTCACTCATTTGTAAATGGCATCAGCCCTATCTCTTGCAATGTTATCGCCCTGAATGACGTTCATTTGTTTCCTGACTCGTCAAAGTCGTCCCTTCTTAGAGTAAATCCTCTACACCATTGGGTGTAAGCTAGAAGGAAACCTCAAACAACACGTATTTCATGCCGGCTGAAAAACGAGTAGGAGCCTAACGTCCAGATCGGATACATCGAACTCTTTGACAAAATTTTCGGTAAAAGGTGTTCTCGTTCTGAATATATTGTTTCAGTTCCAATCATCCCAGATAACTAGATGCATTTCCCTTGCACATATGGTAGTCAATTCAAATTCCATTCCTACTTTCTCTGATCGTCCTCTCAACAGTAAAAATGTCACCAAGGGCAGCTTTCTATTTCACAGGCGTCAACGTCAAGTTAAAGTCTTCTGCAG